TGGCTGCAGCCTGCAGCCCGGGTGCTCAAAGAGAGCAGGCATGTACCTCAGCTGCCTTTCTGAGCAGGCATCTCAGCTTAAGCATCCCTCTGCTGAAGCTGGTTCAAGCTCACCTCGCGCTGCACTACGTATGGAAGCATTCAAGCAGCCTGTGCCTTCAGACAGCAGCTCCTGGAGGGAAAGAGGGGTTAGAAGAGCTAATGCTAGGGTGGGCTCGTGCAAATTGCATGAGGTTCAGCCAAGCCAAGTGCAGGGTCCTGCACCTGGGATGTGGCAACCCCATGCACAAATACAGGTTGGGCGGAGAATGGCTGGAGAGCAGCCCTGAGGAGAAGGACTTGGGAGTGCTTATGGACGAGAAGCTCAACATGAGCCGGCAGTGCGCGCTGGTAGCCCAGAGAGCCAACCGTGTCCTGGGCTGCACCAGGAGAAGCATGGCCAGCAGGTCTCGGGAGGTGATTCTGCCCCTCTACTCTGCACTCATGAGACCCCACCTGGAGTGCTGTGTCCAGCTTTGGAGTCCTCAGCACAGGAAGGACATGGACCTGTTGGAACGGGTCCAGCAGAGGTCCATGGAGATGAGCAGTGGGATGGAGCACCTCTGCTGTGAAAACAGGCTGAGACAGCTGGGGTTGTTCAGCCTGGAGAAGAGAAAGCTCTGGGGAGAGCTTATAACAGCCTATCAATACCTGAAGGGAGGCTACAGAAGAGCTGGGGAGGGACTCTTTGTCAGGAAGTGTAGTGACAGGACAAGAGGCAACGGTTTTAAATTGGAAGAGATTTAGATTAGATCTCAGGAAGAAATTTTTTACTGTGAGAGTGGTGAGACACTGGAACAGGTTGCCCAGGGAAGTTGTGGATGCCCCATCCCTGGAAGTGTTCAAGGCCAGGCTGGATGGGGTTTCGAGCGACCTGGTCTAGTGGGAGGTGTCCCTGCCCATGGCAGGGGGTTGGAACTCAATCATCTTTAAGGTCCCTTCCAACTCTAACCGTTCTATGATTCTATGATTCTGCAGCTGGATATTATCTGAGCAGAACTCCTCACACCATGCAAGTGGCTTGGATGAAAATTTACTCCCTAAATTAGACTACTGCTTTGTCTAGTTTAGCCCCCGTGTAACCCTGTCTGGGCCGGGGGATCAGTAGATTTCACTGTGCCTACTACTGAGGAACGGACAGGGTGGAAGATATAACTTGCCTTTGAGTTTTCTGGCGATCAGGTCAGGGAGAAAATGGAGCCCGAGAGACATTTTCCTTTAACGTCTACTGCCTCATCCTCAGTATGTGACATTGTGACTGGGAAAACTTCCCGGCCAGGACAGGTTCCGTTGCAGCACAGCATGTCTTTAACATGGACCTCTGTCTTCATGGCATGAAGAGTTTTGCTTCCATTCTGCAGCTAACAAGTGTCTCCCGTGCACACCAGCAAGGTTCACAAGGAAGTGGGCAATGCAACGGTGATGCAGAAAAGAAGTGGCAGTACCAAACTAAACAATATAGAAGGGCCCAGGAAGATGAGTACTGTTGAGACAGCCAATTTCTCAGCTCTCCTGAGAAACCCCCCGATTTCTCACAGACTGCACATCGATCAAGGGGCACAGTCGGGCTCAAAATGAATCCTGGAAAACAGTCTCATGAAGCAAGGGGCTTGCAAGCAGCACGAACCACAGGAGTGGCAGCGCATACCTCTCTCTTGCATGTGCTCTCCATAACAGAGCATCAGCTGTTACTGCACATGGCTTGATTTTAGCATGCTGATTTAATATTTACAGAGTGCCAATAAAATTTATATGATGACAGCTGGTGGCTCCTGTGGTAATTTATAAACAGCAACAACAACACAACACAGACATCAGAAACTCCAAGAGGAATTCTACACTATTGTGCAATATTCAGCACAGAATAATGTGGGTATTTTTCTAATTTTGCAGACTTTTAATAATCTTTGTGTAATACATCTATATTGGACTTTATGTAAAGTATTATGCAAAGATAACATTTCCCCGAGGTGTATTTTTCCCTTCAGAACAGAGGTCACCACAAAGACTCATCTGGACTCTGTATCTGGATTTGATGCTCTGGAAAAAGTGTCAGGTAATTTCTGGAGTCCAAGCCTCTGCACGTTCAGTTGGGAAGTCCAGCACGTGATTGCCTGCTTTTCTTCCCGCACTGTGATTCCGCAAAAGAAATAATAAAAATGGGAACTGCTGTGCTGATGACGGAGCCAGGATGGACTACTGCCCTTGTTCCACAACCTGTGTTTACTCTGCACATCCACAAGTAGAAAAGGGTAAAATAAAATCTGTGTGATATAATGACTGGCCATTATCAGGGTACCACTACAGAAATGCAAATACCTGGTATTTGACTAGAAGATGACATTATCGACTGATTCTTTTTTTATTCTACAAGAAACCTCCACTGATCATGCTATCCCTCTTTGTTTATCTTTCTATTTTATTTCCCAAGTCCTCGGTTTCCTTCCCACTCCTTGGTTGCCGGTTCGTTGTGGTTTTCTTTCCATCTACATATATTCTTCAAATCAGTAAAAGGTTTTCACAGCTTACTGTGTCGTCATATAAAGGCATAAATTCATGTGCAATTTGTCATGGGTTTAGAGGCAGAGGCTGTTTTATACTATAACAACTTTTCCAGTGATCCACGTTTTTTAATAGTACCATTAAGTTGTCTATTATTTTCAGTGTTACCTGTTTCTAGGGACATATGTAGGTTGCTCTTGAGGAAGTGCTATTTTCTGGTTTACCTGGAACATGCTTCATTCTCTTTCCACACAACCTCCAGTTCCTGCTAAGAATATGTATTTTCAGGTCAGAGCAACTTCAGCGCAAAATGTTAACAATAGCCCTGTATAACAAAAGACTCCGGACACTGAAAAATGAATCAGGACAAGGTCCAAAAGTCTCGACAAAAGCTTGAAACCCACCTAAATACTAAATTGACATTTTGGGTACTCCCTTTTCAGAATAATCATATTATGATTTAAGTTTTAGCACGAATGTTATCAGTAATAATGAAGAGTTTTCTGTATGGCTGATGATCACCATTTCATCCATCATTGTGTGGGAAAAGTGCTCCAGGGCAAAAGCCCATCAATTTTCGGTGGGAACCATGCCACTCAGACAGATGGGGATATCTTTAGGTAGCTGAAAGATCATGTATGTGCATCAGCAATGGGTGCTCAAGGCACAACTCCCAGCTGGGAACACTGGAAATGCTGTCTGTTACAAGCCGTCTGTGGCGTTTAGCCACTGCTAATCCCTTGCGGGTCAGAATTATTTTTGGAAAACAAAGATTGGCTTGTATGTCCATGTACCCCCCTGTGAGCAAAGGGGACAGCACGGCAGGGGACCCAAATTTCACAACTTGCCTGTGCTGACTGAGAAGAGAGGGTAAGATGCAAAGTATAGAATTACACGGGTAATTATTTATTCATGAGCATGGGGTGTCCCATTCAAACGGGGTGTTGTTACACCTTTCAAGCTTCAGATCCAACACGATTTGACCACTCACTTGTTAACACACCTATACTACTGCTTTGAAAAATAACTATTAATTCTATGGTTCCATCGGCATCTTTCCTGATCTAGATGTCCATGAACTTGGCCTTGCTGCTTATGTATAATCTCAGATAATGGGAGGGTTTCACAGAGGCGTTGGGAGGCACTGGGATGCTGGCATTACCTTGGCAGTCCAGGTTCTTTACCATTTGTGGATGGCTTTAAGCTTCTGAGAAAGTCCTTATCTTCAAGGTGGAGACTGACCTACTGTTGTCTCAGAAGTGTTGTCATTTACCTGGTGAGCAACATCACTCCTCCTTGCAGTGAGCTGCAGCCCTTCAGTTAACCTGACTTACCGTGACTATGCAGTAGACAAGGTAAAATGTGCATTTATCTTAAGAAAGCTTCACATTATGATGAAGGGTCATACGATTTCACACCATAAAGAATAACGGGTACCATCGCCAGGGAGTGAGATGCTCCTCTCAGGGCCCCGGAGGCCACGGCAGAGTCCTTGTCTGCAGCGCCTACGCTTTGTCAGGACTTGCGAGGGGACACTGCGGAGAGGGCAGGAGGGGACCTGGAGGTGGGAACGGCGCTGCGTCAGCAGGCCCCAGCACCGCAGGGAAACGCCCGCACACGGGAAGGCGCATCGGGCAAACAGGTTACCGACAGGCTCCGGCCGGAGAGGGGAGGCCGGAGCTCCCAGGCAGCTCCTCCCGCCTGCGCGGGGAAGGCAAGGCGCAGAACCCCGACAGGCGGTTCTCAGAGCAGGAGGCGAGGCACGGAGAGCCGCCCCCCGCCGCACCTCCGTGAGGGACCCGCCCGTCCTCCCTCACAGCGCCCCGCCCCGCCGCCAGCGCGCGGCCAGCGCGCATG